TCAGAGGACGTGATTGCTGAGCAGAGACCTGCCCGACAGGCTGGCATCAGCCGTCTAGACACTGGGAAAGAGCATTGCAGCAGAGGGACAACTCACTGCAGGGGCGCTGAGGTCGGAACTAGTCTGGTGCATCCGAGGAAGAGCCTGACAGCCAGGGTGGCACCGTGGGGTAGGGGGGAGGATTGGGGCTGGAGGAGGTGGGGTTGGAGCACAACAAGAGCCAGACCACAGCCAGCACTGGAAGCCATCATCAGAAGGTTTGCAGTGGGATTTTAAGGCAGAGTGATGGGATCTGATGTATGTTTCCATGAAGTTCCCTGTTTATCCTCCTCCAATGAGACAGGAGCACATGCACAGTCGTAAGCCAGTTTTCCCTGCAACCCAAGAAGCCTGCCTCAGACCAAGACAGCTTTGCCTCCCTCACCAGGGGCAGGAATTCGAGGCCACCCAAGTGGCCACCAAGTTACACCCCACATGCCCAAGGCACATGCAGGCTCTAGGAATCCCCTTCGCCTGTGGCCGTCCATCTCCATAGAATCAGAGGGTCTCAACTGTCCTGCCCTACATTCTGGGAGCCCCGGGAAACAGAGACCCGTGAGAACAGGAAGCACACAGTGTTGAACAGGGGATCAGTGAGTGGGCCACTGGCTTTTTGTTTTCAAACTTCTTCTGTTTCTTAGAGTCAGCTTTTTTAAATTGCTCCCAAGCTTCCCTCATCTGTCAAGTTCCTCCCACTATACCTCCTGCCTTGCCGCTGATGAGTCTGATGGCCACAAGCAACAGGCCATTTTCTTCTCCCTCTGTCCCTGAACCCACGATAGATTACTTAAATGGAGCCCCTGACAAGGGAATGCCACCTTCGATCCATCACTAGGGGGTAAGATACAAGGGCCAAGGCAGAGGAGGACAGCAAGTGGAAGGTAACGAGGGGGAGAGTGGGAGCAAGAGCCTCACCACACAGCGGACACTGCATCATCTGGAAAGACTGACTCCAACAAAGAAGAGCCCCTCACGAGGACAGGATGGACTCCGTAGCCAGGAAAGAACTACCAGTTTGCCATGAGCACAGGAGCTACAGAAACCCAATGCAAGCTTGCAAACAGGCAGGGGAGATCGGCGGAATTAGCGCTCTTAGTGACAGAAAGCTCAGGGCTAGACCGTCAGGTCCAGCACGGCTGCATTCAGGCACTCCAACAGCTCAGCTCCTGTCTGCCACCCGGCTCGGCTCCTCCCTCTATGCGTCGGCCTCACTCGGACACAAGAGAACGACAGCAGTCCCAGCCTTCCTGGCCCTACAGGAAAGACGTGTGCCGCTGGCAGGACCAGCTCTCTAACTGTTCCGAAAGCCAGCTCCAATTCCCGGGGAAATGCTCTTCAGGAGAGGCCAAGAGAAGCCAGCACCAAGCAAGGTTCTGCTGAGCCTGTGCTGGGCAGCAGGCACGCTAAGAACTCCTCCTGTGGGACACAGAAACCGGCCTCCACAGCTATACACACAACCAGTGACCACACAGAAAGACGAACACCAAGGGTCCACCAGACAGCGAGGCCCCAACCATAGAGCCTGGAGGCGTCACCTCCCGAGTCCGGAGCAGACGGTGATGGCAGACACCCACGCTGGGCCAGACAAGCACACCGTGCATGTATATGCACGAGGGACAGTGGGCTCTCCTGTCCCGCATGTGCAGCCACTCAAAGGCCACAGATCTCCCCTGAGGTCCTGTTTTGTCCACCCAGGACCTGTGACTAAAAACCCTAACTTCAAAACCTCAAGCGCCTACACAGGGGAGAAAGGCGTTCACAACAATGGTCCCCATGCCCATCAGGGGTGAAATTAATGTCTCAGTTCAACTACGATCTGTGTTCATTTCTCACGGCTGCTCTAACAACCACGAGCTTGGTGGCTTAGAATATCACAAATTTATTCTTAGAGCTCAGGAGGCCAGGAGTCTTGAGGATCTGACAGGCTATAGTCAGCAGGGCTGCGCTCCTTCCAGAGGCTTGAGAGGAGAACCCAGTTCCTGGTCTTTCTACTTTCTGGAAGATGCCCGCACTCCTTGGCTTGGGGCCATGCCTCGCTCCACACTCTAGTGCCACATCTCTCCCTCCCCGGCCCTCCCCCTCTTGTAAGGACCCTCGTGATTACATTGGGGCCCACCTGGGTGGAGAAGGATCATCTCCCCTTACCAAAATCCTTAACTCCCCCACATTCGTAAAGTCTCTCCTGCCACTTAAGGAAGCATGTCCCCAGGTCCCGGGTACCAGGACATGAATGTCGCTGGGGGGACCATCCTTCTGTCCCCCACAGCATCTTCTAGATCCCAGACTCAGACATGGACATGTCCTCTCAACTACCTCCCTTAATTAATATTTATCCTTGCAAGAGCCTGTGAAGCACATATGGTTTTCCTCCTCACTTTCGGACCATACAGAAGGGCTGAGAGAGGCAGAGCTAGCGACCAGTAGCACCAGTGGTCAGTACGTACTGAGTGCCCCGTGTTGGACAGGATGCTAAGAGCTTCACGTGTATAACCTACCTCTACCTTCCCCAAAATCCCGTGAGTAAGTCACGACTGCAATTCCCTTTTTACAGAGGAAGAAATGGAGTCACAGAAAGGTCAAGTGGCCCCTAAATCAGTCGTGCAAGGGGAGTCCTTGGTGTCCTTCCACGGAAGTCATTCATGCGCCCACATCCAGTGTAAGCTGCTCCCTGGGTTGCAGGGAAAACTGGCTTACGTGTTATCACACGGCGTGCTGGGTCTCCCCGATGTTGTGGCCGTGACCCTCTTGTTCATGGGCCACGTGCAGGAGGAAGTGGCCCCTTGGACAAAGAGCTAAAGAGCAGAAATGCTGGAGCGCAAAAGAACTCAGGAAACACCCAGGAAGAGCCGCGCTGCGAGCTCAACTGTCAGGCCAGTTCACTGAGGACACAGCGGCCCACATGCCATCACACTGAGGCCAGAGAGGGAGCAGACAGCACACGCCGGGATAAAAGAGATCCAAACATGTACCCACAGGGTAAGGACTCCCATAATGCTCATACTCCAAAAGGTATTTTATAATGTTGAGGTTTTTCAAACACAAGGCCAACAGTGCTTCTTTTTTCCTAGGTTTAAAATCCTTACTGTGACGAACCCTAGTTCTGAGAAGGCAGAGTATGGATTTCTCAGGAGGCAGTGGGGTGCCATCCACGGATCACGGCATTAGAGTCACGTATCTAGAAGTGCAACTGTGGGACCCATCCTAGATCCACGAAACCACTGGTGGCAAGAGCAGCGTTCTTCCTACCTGAGAACAGTCATAGTTAGTGTGTTGCCCAGGTGATGGCCTCAGCAGACTCTAATTTAAGAACTCTGTAAGGCAAAGAACCAGGGATTCGGAGGAAAATGACCCGAGTTCACTTCTACCCTATATACACGTATGAGTCCCTTAAGCTCTCCTAAGCCTCCAATAATGAACTTTCTAAAATACAGAAAAATCAAAAAATTAAAATACAGGAAAAATACCTACTCTTCACAGGTGACAAAGCCCCAAGGAAAGAGATGAGAAGCAGCCCGGGAAGGGTAAAGGGGACACAAATACTGCTCATTCAAGACACATCACGGACGGAATGAGCGCCTACAAAAGTGAGGTATTGGGGAAACAAAGATGGGGAGTGAAAGTCAAAAGACCAACACCCACAGAACACACGTGACACGGATTCAGTACCATAACAGCAACAGCTGTTTGAAAAAGGGACGAGGAAGACGTGATTAATTCTGCAATGATAACCCCTAGACCAGTAACAGTTATAGACCAATTATGAACGAAGCAAGGCATGTAATAAAAAAGTGATAATAATCACCAACACGTTGAAGCCAATCAAACAGAGACCATAATCAACACAAAAGCTTTAAACAAAATTCAAGCCTCTCTGTTATTAGTATGCAACCCACATCCAGATTCCAATGCTGTCTCCTTCTATTCCACAGAAACATATCTACCACTTACTGAACGCCCATGACAGGCCAGGTGCCACACTGCAAACTTCACGTTCATTGTCTTGGTCAATCCACGCCACTACCATTGATGGGAGGTTTCCACTTCCAAATACCAAATAACTCCAACACCTCAAATTACCCTGGGTGCGCCTGGATTCAGAGGCAGGTCTGGCGGACTCCCAAGACCTGTAAGCCTGGAGGGTCCATCCCTCTGTTACAGTGTCTACACCCCCAAGAGTTCATTTGTGTTTAAGTCAATCTCTTAATGGCAAATTGGCTGAAGGCTGTAAGACATTTCAGGCAAAGGGAAATACCCTTTCTTGCAGCTAAACCGAGAACGTTTTAGTTGATTACACTGTAGTCAAAATGCGGAGAGAGGAAGCATATGTTATCGCCTCCTTTAGTGCAATCTTGGTCAAGTGATCATTTTTCTATCTACTTGTATTTCTGACTAAGAGTATCAACAGCTAAAATGTATTCAGTACTTACCGATACTAGGCATCATGCTAAGATGTCTAGATGGATTACTTTGCGAGGTAGGGACTGTCAACTAAGCCCATTTTACTGATGAGGAAACTAAGGTACAGAGAGACGAAGGGGCTTACCCAGAACTGGGGCTGGAGCCAGGTCAGCCCAACTCCACAGCCCTGGTTCTCCACCACTTTGGGGTTCTGTTGCTTTCACCCCTGGTCTGATGGGACTTAACCATGCCGCAAGGTTCTCTCCCTGGCAAGTACCTCAAGACCCAAGATATAGAACTTCCTGTGTATGCAAATTAACACAACCCTTGCTAGTGACCCAGCAAGTAAGTCTTACGACATTAGTGCTGCACGCAGCAAGAACACACAACAGGATGTTCCGTCTAATTTGTTTTCCAGAATCGTGACCAGCACGGCTTCTCAACCTCATCTGCATGAGTACTCATCCCACGCTGCGTGTCTGGCTCCTGTGCACCAGGCATGCGGGCTAATAAGAATTAAAAAGCTCGGCCCCCTCCGCACCCTGGCTCGGTCTCCCCCTCACCTTCAGCTGCTTGACCTTCTCTTTTCAGCATCTGGACAGCTCCTACGTATTTCTTCAGTTGGACTTTGAGCACCTCGTTTTCTCTGCAGGTACAAGAACGTTAAAAAAAAATACATGTTTAAAAACTGGCAATTTAGACTGAAGCGGGGGGGCAATCTTTGTAAAGAAAAACACACGGGGCTCACCTTATTAGTACATTTTTTGTTTTAGAGATCCTCACTGGAGAAGACTACACTTGCAAAGGTACGTTTGCAGAATGCCTGCAAAAACCGCTCATCCATAACGAAGTGCTGACTGGTTCCAGTTCCCAGCAAGTCAGGATGCGGACACAGGTTGTGCTCTGATTATCTGAATCTGTCAAGCTGCTAGGTGCCTATTCGGTGGTACGCACTTGGCAATATTCTCTCCGTTTACGGAAAAACACACTAAGAACCACCTATTCAGCCTGGGGAATACTCATTTTTTTATTAATGGCCACAGGCACTGAACGTTTGGTATTTGCCAGACATCATGTGGCAACACCTACTTTACAGATGAGGAAACAGAGTTATAAAGAGAAGCAGCAGCTTCGTCCACACCCCCTTCCACACAAGACTTTATACAAGGCCCCATCAAAGCCCTGCTCTACCCAATTCACTCCCCAGGTACACAGGGTGAGGAAAAAAACACAAGGATCAGAAGGAGAAAACAACCAGTTACTGAGGACCACACAGCTGAGACTGCCTTCCTGACTTCACTGCATCAAGCAGCATTCGTTCATTCTTCATTCGTTGGGAAACGGTTTAAATGCCTGTCGTGTGTTAGGCACAATGACCCAATTAGCATTCTCAGTTTTGAAGAGGAATTGGGGCACAGCTAAGGTCTGTGACTAAGGTCACATGGCCAAGGTCAAGGTCATAAGAAAGGCACAATGCCAAGACACCAACCCAGGCTGCTCTGTCCTCAAGACCACAAAGAGCTTTGCTCAGTTTCCTTTGGGATTCAAACTTGGTTTCTCATCAGTGTCCCCAGGGAGAGTTGCCTCTTCCACATTTTCTGATTCTACTACTCCCACCCGAAGGTCTTGAGTCTGAGTGCCTTTAAATAGGAAAGAACACTTCCTCAGTATGAAAACAGCTTTAAGACTGGGTTTCTTTTATAACCATAAAAATTTAAATGCTCATTGCAAAAGAGTCCGAGGACATTTAAGCAGGAATGTACAAGTCAGCTGAAAGCCCAACACCTTGAAATCCATCCCAGCGACATTTTCATAGCGATCCTATCATACCTCTCTCCAGGCATGTGCGCACACATGTGAAGTAAATCTGTTTTCCCTGGATGAAACATTTTTCACACTCCTTTCATTTTTTTGTTTGAAGTCTTCTCTTGCTTTGTTCACTGATCCACTAACCATCCCCCCTTTCTCATGGTAACCAATGCTGAAAACCCAGTATATATGTTTCAAGCCTTCCTCCACACTCATGTCGTCACTACTAACCCAAAACACTCAAATATCAGTTACTTTGTAAAACCGAGTATTATACATTTTTCTGCAGCTGGGCTGTCCCCTTGAACAACTCACCACACAGGCAGTTTCTAACTCCATCTAGTTATGGATGCGTACGCCACTCCTGGGTACGGCTGTGCACCACACACTTACTCAGGGTATGAACTTCTGACTGCCCATCGTCAGTACTGTTTTCCACGCATCTGACAACACCTCAGCCCTGTTTGCCCTTTTGCTTTTCTGCACTTTTGGCAGAAAAGACCATCATCAGCTGCAGACTCTCCCAAGGACTTAGGAGTCACCTGAGAATGCTACGTTCATCTCGGAAGCCCTAGAGAATGAGCCACGGAGGAGCCCCTTTATCACCCCCTCCCTCCTCCTAGACAGCCTCTCACGGACATTTGTAAAGCTGTCTGCAACTCCCTCCATCTGTGATGTGAATAGCAAACGTCTGAAGCCAAGCAACTAACAAGTCCTGGAAAGACTGGGGGGAAGGAAATGCTCCCCGATACACGTGGCTCGTACAGCTTGTTTTCTTGGATTCCTTCAGCAGAGTCTTGTCACTCATCCCAACCTACTCTTCATCTCTACGTGTGAATTCAAGTCACATAGGGCCTGCAAATGAGGGAAAGCAATTTCTCCGCATTTCTATATGGCCTCATTTAACAAGGGTTCCCAGCAGCTCATCTCCCACGCATCGGAACACAGGCTCACTAAGGCAGACTGACAGGTGAGCCGTGCCGACGTCTGCTACCGGGCTCTGATTTGCTCACAGCACACGGGTCAGCCCTCGGCTGCCCTGGTGCTCCATGCTTCTGCAGCTGCCATGGACAGGTTTCCAGCGGCTAATTTCCTTCTGGTTTGGATTTTTCAATAATGTCTTAGAGATTCTATCTCAAAATGAGATGTAACAGATTAAAAGGTTTTTAATATAAACTGATCTCTATCAAGATGAGAAACTGCAGAGCACATCAAACCACTGGATACGCACCTCTGGGAACCATGAATTCACCCCAGACAATTTCGTACCCATGAACTTGCCTGTCTTTTGGGGGCACTTAACACTTTCCGGTCACTGGAACGCTTTATGAAAGAAACTCAAACACCTAATTGAGGTCCTTTACATTCAATTTTTTTTTTTTTAAATGATCAGAGATTCACATGAAGTTGCAAGGATATAGCAAGAGTTTCTCCGCCCTTGGCCCAGGCTCTCCGATGGTTGCAGCCTACCTTACTATGCGGCAGCAGCGAAACCCGAAGTCTGATATGGGTCAAAGTGTGTGTGTGAGAGAGAGAGAGAGAGAGAGAGAAAGAGAGAGAGAGAGAGAGAGAGAGAGACAGAGAGAGACAGAGAGAGAGACAGAGAGAGACAGTGTGTGTGTGTGTGTGTGTAGTCCCGTCCAGCCCACTATTTTCACTGAGGCTCCTAAGCATCCTCTCCCACACGGTGTCTCTTAAGATGGAATGCGGAAGGCTGTGGCCACTGCCGTCACACAGCCTAGGCCATGGAGAAGAGCCAACCAGGACTAAGAGTGAGTAGCGGGCAGGAGGCTATGAAAATCAGGGAGCTCCTGCCCCAACAAAAAAAAATTTTTTAACTTAACACATTACTGGGTCTCCTGGCTGGCTCAGTCAGAAAAGCATGGGACTCTTGATCTCAGGGTCATGAGTTCAAGCCCCACGATGGGTGGAGAGATTGCTAACAAAAATAAACTTAAAAAGCACATTACCAGGCCAACAAAATACTTCCCAGCCTCTGGACAACTGATTTGCAAACAGCTGACAGGATGTTAATCTGCAGCTAGGAGAGCCAAAGAGAGCTCCTCATTCTTGTTACACAGGTCTATTATGATGACCAAATCTAAAAATGCCTTTTCAATTGACACCTCATGAGACGACAGAATGCATTAGTTAACTAAATGAATCCTGACTGTAGAGAGGCTCGAGGCCCTCTGAGCAGGTGAAAAATACAGGCAGGATGGTGCAGCCTCCCTCATTCCCCTCCCCGACCAAGGTCCTTCACGCCTCCGCAGGTCCCCTCGCCAGGTACCCGTCCGCCTCAATAGGTAAGGGGCCCGAAGAGCAGGGCTCTGGGTGCCCCCGCTCACAGGCTGGGTCTTCGGAGCCACGGGGCCTCCCCTCTTCATTACCCCCCCCAAGTGTGTGCACACATGAGGGAGTGTGCGCACCACACGGCCCTGTCAGCTGTGCACGCGGGCAGTATCCCAACAGACTCCTCTGAGCCGTGAGGTCACAGGTCTTACTTTGAGCCTTTTTCTCTTCTGGTTGCTCAGCTACGTTCCCTAATCTTCTACAGCGAAGTGAGGTTTGCAGACAAAGAACACGTCTACAACCTAGTCTCTTCAGGTTTGGGGGTTTTTTTGGGTGTTTTTTTTTGTTTGTTTTGTTTTTTCGGTAAGACTTAAAGAATTTACGGGGCACCTGGGTGGCTTGGTGGGTTAAAGCCTCTGCCTTCGGCTCAGGTCATGATCTCAGGGTCCTGGGATCGAGCCCCGCATCGGGCTCTCTGCTCAGCAGGGAGCCTGCTTCCCTCTCTCTCTCTCTGCCTGCCTCTCTGCCTACTTGTGATCTCTCTCTCTCTGTCAAACAAATTAAAAAAAAAAAATAAAGACTTAAAGAATTTACTAAGAGCATTTAAAGACAACGCTGAGGAGGAAAGTTGAAGCTGCTATGGAGCAGGCCACCTGTCACCTGTGGGGTGGGGGGTGGGGGGACCCCCACCCCGTCTACACTGCCAATATGTGCAGCGTGAGCCTGTGTGGAGGAGAGCACCGAGCAAGGATGCACAGGCGTTTGCCACCCCATCCATGAAGAGCTTAGGGCAACTCCCTCTTCTCCTTTCCCCTTCTTTGATTCTAGGAGGCCGCTGCCCAGCTGAAGACCGCACTCCCATATCTAGCTTCTTTTTGTAACCAACAGAGTTGATTTAATATCAAACCCTGACGGACCACCTAGAAAAACAGGGGCAGGGATGCTACTGTTGCTATGAACCGCCCGCACTCAGACCTTCCAGGAACGTGGGCCACTAGGAAACTGAGTCCTGAGCGCAGTCACCGGGGCTCCAGGTCAGCTGCAGGCTTCACCCCTTTGGCGACCTGTCAGGGATCCACCCATCAACACTAGCACCTCTCGAAGGATCTGGCCTTCCGGCTGTAACTCACGCACCTGCCTCCAATGAGGAGATGTAGCTGGGAGGCACCTTCAGCCATCACAATGTCAGCAGCGAGAAAACCATAGAACAAGGAGGAGCAGGGGTAGGGGTTCCATCAGGCAAACCCGGTCTGTCATGGCCAAAGCCAACTGCAGTGGAAAACCAACCTCACAGACACAAACCTGCAGAAATCCCCCTTCCCCACTCACCCCTGAGAACTTACCCAGTTCTCTGCACTCTCAAGGGCAGTGGGACCTAACTTTCCTCACAGTTCCATCAAAGAGGAGAAGCACACAAAGAGAATGAACTTAAACAGAACCTTCCAAATGTGGTACATTCCCAAGATCATTTTAGAGGTTTACCTACCGGAGATATTCTCTAGTAGATTTTTTAGAAGCTGATTTTCCATATATTGCTGTGACAGA